AAAAGACAAAAAGAATAGTTATAGGAAAGACTGAAAAAAAAACAACAACTGAAACACGTATTCGTAAATGAATTTCTAGGTTTAAATATATATATATATGTGTCTGAAATTTATCTAAATCTCTTCTTCGTTAACTTAGTTCATAAATGTTGTTTTCAAAATAAACTAATAAATTATTTATTGTCGTTATCAAACGTGGATTAAAAGTTGTTGCTTCACAACATTTTTAAAATGCTGCTAAAATACAAATTATTAGTAAAATTATCAGCTATCTCGCTTCAAGCTATAAATAAATAAGATATTTCTAGTTAAATCTTCATAGTTTTTTATTAGATAAAATATAAATTTCTATTGGATATTTGAGTTATAATTAAAAACTTAATTCGAAACTCAATAATATAGATAAATGACAGTGTGAGAGTACTAATAATGTTTCTCAGGTTTGACCTATTACTACATTAAAATTGGTGCTTTCGAAAATCTACAAAATTCTACCAAGAGATTTTTGATGTAGAATCTGAATGTAGATCACTAAAACATTGTAAAAAACTGTGACCTTATAAAGCAAAGTGAAACTAAGGTTTCTATGACTATGCAGTCAAACCAAATTTTGTTTTCTCCCAGTGTGTCAGTGGTGAATTTATGGACTTATTACGTTAAATGCCGGGCTTGATTCCCCTCGGTGGACAGAACGTATGTAGCCCATTGTGTGTCTTAGTGGGTCAACGGAAAATTTATGGATTTACAAAGCTAAAATTCGGGGTTCGATTTCGCGCGGTGGACTAATCGCAGATAGCACATTGTCTAGCTGTATGCTAAAAAACAACTTCTATACAAAAATCTGTTGCAGGTTATATAACTAGATATTTCTCTAAAGTTGGTCCTCCGATAAGTCAGCGGTAAGTTTACTCACTTATAACACTAAAAATCGGGGTTCGATTTCCCGCGGTTAACACGGCAGATAGATCAATATGGCTTTGCTATAAACAAAAACAAATATATTGTAGTTGAAAAAGTTGTTACATTTTTAGAATTACTCAATTTATATACAAATCTATAACTACATAAAAATCCTTGACCTGTGGTAGAGCTCTGAATTTCGTCGCTGTGTTCGAATCCGTGCGTTACCACAAAATATTCCCGCACTTTAAGCTACTGGTACGTTTTAGGAGTGACAGTCAATCCTTTAGCGTGGATGGTGGGTGGTAAGAAGCTGCTGACTGCATGCGTTCCCTCTGATCAGTACGTCAAAGTTAGAGACGACGCCAGACTGCCTTCTCTCTGATCAGTAGGTCAAAGTTCGGGGCGACGCCAGACTGCCTTCTCTCTGATCAGTAGGTCAAAGTTAGAGACGACGACAGACTGCCTTCTCCTCTGATCAGTACGTCAAAGTTCGGGTCGACGCCAAACTGCCTTTCCTCTGATCAGTACGTCAAAGTTAGAGACGACGACAGATAGTCGTAATAGCTCTGCAATAAATACTGGTATAAAACAGCTTGATAAGCAAAACACTGAATAAACTGACAGATGTTGACAATAACATACATTCACTTTGAACATTGAAGAATAATGAGATCTTTTAACATGATCACGAAACCTTAAGTGAAGCAAATAATGCGATTTTAGTAAACACGATTAATTTCACGATTCTCTGAATATATCAATTCTTTTGAACGACCTGGTTAGAGTTTTTAAGTTATTTGTCGGTTTATTTAACAGCAAAAATTGAATTACCTAATTGTAAAACTTGTTGTACAAAACATATGGAATATCTTATTTGTTTCTGTTTTCACAATGACTTAGATGTTTTTTAAAAAAATAAGAAAATTCTTGCACGCTGTTGGAACTCTGGGGGTTTTAATTATTGCTAATTTATATTTAATTAAAAAAATGTCTTCAATTCAGACTTATTTACTATGACGTTCAGATATATAGACAATCTGCACCCCAGTCTGAAGACTACTAACGCAAAATACCGGGTTTTGATACCCGTGATGGGCACAGCACATATAGCCCATTGTGCAACTTTGTGCTTAACAACAAGTAAACAAAATATGGGCAGTTTAATTGATTATACTAATCCAAGACTTAACAATCATATCACTAGCGTACGTCCTGCTGAACTGGAAAGAGAAAACAGTGAGACGTCTAATACACAAACATAATGCTTGCAAACAAATAAAAATAAAAAACGGTTTGGTTTCATGTTTTTTATATTTCAAGAATTTATTTTCACATCTAATAACTTTTTTTCACGCAGTGATAACATTACGTTATTTTTATGTAACATTGGTATAATTTGGTTGTTTGTTTGTTGTTAAACACAAAACTACACAATGGGACATGTGTTCTGTGCCCACCACGGGTATCGAAACCCGGTTTTTAGAGGTATGAGTCTTCAGGCTTACCACTGGGGGGATAAAAATTGTATAATATCAAAGTTAATTAGATTTTGCAGAATGTTTAATAAACTATAATCATTTTGGTCCAATGTAGTCCATTTAATCATTTGGGTTTTCAACAATGTAACTTATTAGAGTTTTTGTTTCACATTTTTAATAGTTAATATTATTAAATACTACACAAAATTATCAAGAATTGTTACAGTAAAAACAGGATCTTCTTTTATGTAAATTACTTCAGTTATTTTATGTTATTAGCACATGCGTATTAGTTAGAATGAGTGTTTGTTTTTGTTTCTTTGAAGTTAAGCACAAAGTTATACAATGGGCTATCTGTGCTCTGCCCACCACGGGTATCAAAACCCGGATTCTAGCGTTGTAAGTCCGTAGACATACCGCTGTGCCACTGGGGGGCAAGAATGAGTGAGTACATATTTCATTTACACATATGATCCCTCACATATTATTTAGAGTGGATGACTACACAATAGGCTATCTGTGCTCTGCCCACCACGGTATCGAAACCCGATTTTTAGCGTTGTAAGTCCGCAGACATACCGCTGTGCCACTGGGGGCAAGAATGAGTGAGTACATATTTCATTTACACATACGATCCCTCACATATTATTTAGAGTGAATGACTATATGAAATATTTACTTCTATTTTCTTTTTGAATTTGGAGGGAAAATTCAGTTTTTCTTTCGCCTATCAATAGTATTTTTACTATATTTCTTAAGCTTTACTACATAGCTCTTCAAGGTATCATGGGGGAGATGGAGAGGCGTAGGCTGTAAGCTTGAGTGCTCACGTGCTAAAAACGTGTTTCGATGCCCGTGCTCGACAATAGCACCTTGCGTAAGATGACCGTTTATGACGGTCATTCATCAACCTCAGTTTATTCATGTCCAGTATCCAGGAGAGAAACCTTGTGCATTTATTGTGTTCGTTTACAAACATATATACGTAGTTTTCACAAATGTCTTATAATAATGTAATCTTAGTGCCTGATTTTGTTTTAAAATAGTCAGAAAATTAATGTTGGCCTAGTGCTATGCGCCAGGTATCGTGACACAATCATATATTAACAGGAAAGAGTCGTGACACAGTAATTACATAGTGTCAGGAAAGTGTCGTGACACAGTAATTACACAATGTCAGGAAAGTGTCGTGACACAATCATTATATAGTGTCAGGAAAGAGTCGTGACACAGTAATTACATGGTGTCAGGAAAGAGTCGTGACACAGTAATCATATAGTGTTAGGAAAGTGTCATGACACAATCATTATATAGTGCCAGTAAATAACTTAAAAATTCCATTCATTAAATAGCGCTATAATCAGTGTTAAAGTATAATCAATACAGTGTAGTATAATTAAATACTTATTCCTCTAATCATGCTTCTGTTAAAGTTAACACTGTACTACTAGGGTCATGAAATGTTG